CAAACGTCTCTGTGGTAGATTTGCCCAGTTTCATGCAGAATTTCACATTTGCGCTTTGTTCTAACTTGCTGTCCATAGCACCAGTTGCACAGCTCCCGATGTACACAGGTTGATGTTTTTGGCACACTGACTTATGAAGCAAGTTAGAACAAACAGCAAACGTGAAATTCTGGGTAAAAGTGGGCGAATCTGCCACAGAGACATCTGACATGATTGGGCAAGTTTATGGCGATGCTGCAAGGAGTCGTTTGAGGTGTTGTGAGTGACACGCACGCTTCAAGAGCAGAAGAAAATCACTGGAAGATGACGAGAGATCAGGAAGACCTTCAATGAGCTCAACTCCAAAAAATGCCCCCTTCCCTTAGATGGAGATCCAGCTCAAAGGTCGCCGTTTTGACAAAATTGTGGAGATCCACCAATTTGCCCAGTTTCATGAAGAATTTCACATTTGCTCTTTGTTTTAACGTGCTGTCCATGGTGAAATAGCAGACGTGGTAACGCACATGGTCAGAATAGCACCAGGGGGTCAGGGGGAGGAATAGTGCCCCATCATTGGTGTCAGTGGGAGGAATAGTGCCCTATCATTGGTGTCAGGGGGATGAATAGTGCCTCATGATTGGCGTCAGTAGGAGGAACAGTGCTCCATCATTGGTGTCAGTGGAAGGAATAGTGTCCCACCATTGGTGTCAATGGGAGGAATAGTGCCCCGTCATTGGTGCCAGTTGGATGAATAGTGCCCCACCATTGGTATCAGTGGGAGGAATAATGCCCCATCATTGGTGTCGGGGGAAGAATAGTGCCTTGTCATTTGTGTCAGGGGGAGGAATAGTGCCCCATCATTGGTATCAGTGGGAGGAGTAGTGCCCCATCATTAGTGCCAGTGGGATGAATAGTGCCCCATCATTGGTGTCAATGGGAGGAATAGTGCCCCATCATTGGTATCAGTGGGATGAATAGTGCCCCATCATTGGTGTCAGTGGGAGGAATAGTGCCCCATCATTGGTGCCAGTGGGATGAATAGTGCCCCACCATTGGTGTCAGTGGGAGGAATAGTGCCCCATCATTGGTGCCAGTGGGATGAATAGTGCCCCACCATTGGTGTCAGTGGTTGGAATAGTGCCCCGTCATTGGTGCCATTGGGATGAATAGTGTCCCACCATTGGTGTCAGTGGGAGGAATAGTGCCCCATCATTTGTGCCAGTGGGATGAATAGTGCCCAACCATTGGTGTCAGTGGGAGGAATAGTGCCCTGTCATTGGTGTCAGTGGGAGGAATAGTGCCCCATCATTGGTGTCAGGGGGAGGAATAGTGCCCCATCATTGGTGCTAGTGGGATGAATAGTGCCCAACCATTGGTGTCAATGGGATAAATAGTGCCACACCATTTGTGTCAGTGGGAGGAATAGTGTCCTGTCATTGGTGTCAGTGGGAGGATTAGTGCTCCATCATTGGTGTCAGGGGGAGGAATAGTGCCCCATCATTGGTTCCAGTGGAAGAAATGGTGCCTCCTTGTTTATATCGGTGGGAGGAATAGTACCCCGAGGGCTGGATAGAGGCAAGCAAAGGCACAATCTGAACGTCAAATGCCGTCTCTCTTTCTTACTGGAACAGATTTGTTTTGACCTAACAATGTTCTAATACGGTTCCTTCACTCCTCATATGTATACCTTAGCGCCCGGCTTAACTTCTCATAATTCATACATTTGTTCTTCTTCTGCTCGCCCCATAACTGGGCGAACATGTCAGACCTAACGACCCGGAACGTTCCTTCCTTGCGGTTCTCCCATCGTACAGCTTCTTGGTTCTTCTGTGGACTCAGCAAAAGGTCACGTACGAACTCCCAGAGGTGCACGCTTTGGTCTGAGATGGAAAAGAGAGAAATCTTTATAAGTGTTTGTTCCGAGATTAGCGCAGAGGCTTCTGCTCGCTTGACACCATATGATGGATATGCATGAGCGACTTCCAAGTAAATTTAGACCCAAGGGATACCAAACCAGAAATGGTTCTGCAATATATTATGGCTGTGTACGTCCGACATTTTCCTGGTATAGATATTTTATTCGATTTATTTCAGGTACTTGTATAGCGCCGTCAATTTATGCAGCACTTTACATATATATTGTACATTCACATCAGTCCCTAACCCTCAAGGGGTGTACAATCTAAGCAGGGGCGTCCCTAGGGTTGGTGTCACCCGGTGCGGTAACACTTGGTGTCACCCTTCCGACAATCCCCACAGGATGGATCGGATCTAAGGATTGAGCATAATGGATCAGAGTCCGATCCATTTTGCTCCCCAATGCGCAGATCCGATCCATCCTGCGGAGATCGTCTGCTTGCAACCAATACGGGGTTAACTGATCTTTCAGCACCGGTCCGGTCAGTACATGCATGTCAGATGGAGGAGGTTCCTGCTATCACTGCCACCTTTCCTGGTCACAGACACACCTTTCCTGGTCACAGTAGGAGGAGTTTTCTTTCTGCTCTAGGAGGATGCAGAACCCCTGACCTCTGTCTGGACAGTGCTGATTGACCCTGTGCTGATCACATGCACTCTCCCAAGAAAAGAAAAAAAAAAAGAACTCTCTTGCAATACACACCAAACTGAGCATGTGCAGAGTGACTCAACATGATATGTATGGGCAGCACAGTGGCTAAGTGGTTAGCCCTTCCGCCTGGCAGTACTAGGGTCGCCAGTTCAAATCCCAATCACGGCACCACCTGCCTGGAGTTTGCATGTTCTCCCTGTGCCTGCATGGGTTTCCTCTGGGTACTCCGGTTTCCTCCCACCCTCCAAAGACATGCTGGTAGGTTAATTGGATCCTGTCTAAATTGTCCCTAGTATGTGTATGTATGAATGTGAGTTAGGGACCTTAGATTGTACGCCCCTTGAGGGTTAGGGACTGATGTGAATGTACAATATATATGTAAAGCGCTGCGTAAATTGATGGCGCTATATAAGTACCTGAAATAATAAATACATATAAAATAAGTCTTATCAGGAGATAAGAGGGGGAACTGGAAGAAGGGGAGGATCAGAAAAGACAGGATCAAACAGCCTTTTTATACACAATGCAGAGGATTAACCCCTTAGTGAGTATAACAAGCATGCTTTACTGCATATACAGACTGATTTTACTGTTGTGGGTTTAGTAACGCAGAAGCGTGAACCAGAGAAAATCTGCCCCAGTGACCAATCGGAATTCATCTAGCTGTGACACACTCTCTATACACTCGACAAGCCCAGAGGTTTCACTTACTCGTTCTGCTTCCTTTGTTTCCTCTGCGGCTGTCCTCCCTCCGAGTCACTTGAGATGGTTTACGTTCTGAAATTCCTGTTTCTTATTAACACAGAACAAAGGTGAGAAATGTAACAGACAACGCAGCTCTGTGATGTCATCCTAAAACAACATTATTATCGATCGAAGACAAACCGACTTTTGTACCATACAGGGCCTCATGCACACTTGAGCTTGAAAACACCTGTTTTACAGGAGCCTGACTTTTGTTTCTGCCTCTAAACCCACATGGAAGAAAAATATATTTGAAATATATTTTAAAAATATTCTTCCCAAATATATATTGACATATATTTGAAATGCTACATTTTTGGCCATATGCAATATATTTCAATATATATATATATATATATATATATATATATATATATATATATATACATACACACACAACATGCAATATATATATATATATATATATATATATTATATATATATTTTGCATGTTGAAATGTGTTTTTATTCCAAAATACATGAAAAATATTTTTAAAAATACATTTCAGATATACTGTATGTCTTTAAAATTACAAATCTACATTTTTGGAATGCATTTACAAGTATATGTAAAAATCTATGTTAAAATGACTTTTTTATATGTTAAAAAAAATCTGAAGAATATATTTTAAAAAATTATTACAAATATATTTTTTAAAAATATATTCTTCAGTTTTTTTTTAACATATAAAAAAAGTCAGTTTAACATATATTTTTATATTATATTTGTAAATGCATTCCACAAATGTAGATTTGTATTTTTAAAGACATACAGTATATTTGAAATGTATTTTTAAATATATTTTGGAATAAAAACGCATTTCAACATACAGTATAGATAAAAACATATATTCTTCTGAAACACAGCGGAAAAGCATGTATTGTATTTATGATGCATTTTGTGTTTTAAATCCGCCTAGCAACAAGGAAAAAAAACTGCAGCAAAAACGTAGGTGCAAAAACGCAAAACGCAATGCAGGAACTGCTCAAACGCAACCTGTATAGGTGTGAACCTAGCCTTAGGTGTGTTTTGGAAGCTGCCAGGAGAAAAGCGTTTACAAAAGCCCCGGTGTGCATGAGACCTAAGTGAATGCGATCAGTTTCAACTTTCAGATTGAAAAAAATACACTCACCACTTTATTAGGTCCACCTGTTCATTTGCTACACAAATTGCTAATCAGCCAATCACACAGCAGCATTTAGGCATCTAGACGTGTTGAAGACGGCTTCAAACCGAGTGTCAGAATGGGAAAGAAAGGGGATTTAAGCGACTTTGAACGTGGCATGGTTGTTGGTGCCAGACGGGCTAGTCTGAGTATCTACTGGGATTTTCACACACAACCATCTCTAGGGTTTACAGAGAATGATCCAAAAAAGAGAAAATATCCAGTGAGTGGCAGTTGTGTGGATCAAAATGCCTTGTTGATGTCAGAGGTCAGAGGAGAATGGACAGACTGGTTCGAGATGATAGAAAGGCAACAGTAACTCATGTCAATATGGACCAAAATCTCTGAGGAATGTTTCCAACACCTTGTTGAATCTATTCCATAAAGAATGAAGGCAGTTCTGAAGGCAAAAGGGACTGTACAACAAAGTACAACATGACACTTTGGCACCCAGATGGTAGGGGAAGTACAAGGCACCATCACATACTTGTAGACCCACTGAACCAGCGTAGGGTCTGACACAGGGGCGGACTGACAACTCATGGGGCCCCCGGGCAATAGGGGATCATGGGGCCCCTGTGTCCTTGCCCGCACTCAAAACACACCCAAAAAAAGCCTATAAAAAGGTACCAGGGGTATTTCATGGGGCCCCCTATTGACCCCGGGCCCTCGGGCAGTACCCGAGTGCTCGAATGGTCAGTCCACCCCTGGTCTGACAATGGGTCCAAGGATTTCATCCCGATACCTAATGGCAGTCAGGGTGCCATTGTCTAGCCTGTAGAGGTCTGTGCGTCCCTCCATGGATATGCCTCCCCAGACCATCACTGATCCACCACCAAAACGGTCATGCTGAACCATGTTACAGGCAGCAGAACGTTCTCCACGGCTTCTCCAGAGACTTTTACGTCTGTCACATGTGCTCAGGGTGAACCTGCTCTCATCTGTGAAAAGCACAGAGCACCAATGATGGACCGGTCAATTCTGAGGTTCAATGGCAAACGCCAATCCAGCTCTACGGTGCCGGGCAGTGAACACGGGGCCCACTAGAGGACATCGGGCCCTCAGACCACCCTCATGAAGTCTGTTTCTGATTGTTTGGTCAGAGACATTCACACCAGTGGCCTGCTGGAGGTGTGAAAAAAAAAAAAAAAAGATATCAACTTCATTTGGGTACAGTGTTGCATGACCGCGCCATTGCCAGTTAAAGTAGCGCAGTGCTGAATAGCAAAAAAAAACCACCTGCCTTGGTCATGAAGGGGGTAAAACCTTCCGGCGGTGAAGTGGTTAAATGCCTATGCATGCAAGGTTTAAACAAGGGAATAAAAAGCAGATAAAGCCAGTGTGTATACATTAGTAATATCCAAACATACCCTCATGGTAAGGTAATGCCCTATTCTGCTCACCACAGATGGCAGTCTCAGGCTCCCCATCCTCTTGTAAAACCTGTTGGTCCAAATTCCTTCTGCGTGTTGTCACCGTGTCTAACAGGTCTGTAAGGAGGGGAAACGTTAACGGTAAACAGCGAGGTGAGTGCAGACGTATATTGTTCTTATAGACTAGGACTGTGGTTGATACTGCACTGAAACCCTTTAAATATTTTCTCAGAGCACAGGGAATTTAGTTAACCTCTTCATGACCAAGGCTGTGCTGCTTTCTGCCCCGAATCTAGCGCCACAAAAAGTGTTTTTTTTTTTTTTTTTTTTAAAAAGAAGCGAATTATTCTCCACGGAAAGCAGGCAAAAGTTCTAGATTAATGCTGTATATTAGCTGATATTAAAGTAGACGTCAGGGCTAGAACCAATTAAAGCAGTGGTCTCCAAACTGCGACCCGGGGGCCAGAGACTTTGATTGGCTTTATCTGGCCCTTGGGGCACTATTCCTTCCACTGATATGAGGCGCCATTCCTTCCACTAACACCAACATTGTGACCTGATTCCATCCACTGATATGAGGTGCCATTCCTTCCACCAACACCAACATTGGGACATAATTCCTCCCACTGATATGAGGCACCATTCCTTCCACTGACATGAGGCACCATTCCTTCCACTAACACCAACATTGGGACATAATTCCTCCCACTGATAGGAGGCACCATTCCTTCCACTGATATGAGGCACCATTCCTCCCACCGATATGAGGCACCATTCCTCCCACCGATATGAGGCACCATTCCTCCCACCGATATGAGGCACCATTCCTCCCACCGATATGAGGCACCATTCCTCCTACCGATATGAGGCACCATTCCTCCCACTGATAGGAGGCACCATTCCTTCCGCTAACACCAAACATTGGGACATAATTCCTCCCACTGATATGAGGCACTATTCCTTCTGCTAACACCAACATTGAGACCTGATTCCATCCACTGATATGAGGCACCATTCCTCCCACTGATATGAGGCACCATTCCTCCCACTGATATGAGGCACCATTCCTCCCACTGATATAAGGCACCATTCCTCCCACTGATATAAGGCACCATTCCTTCCGCTAACACCAACATTGGGACATAATTCCTCCCACTGATATGAGGCACCATTACTTCCACTGACACCAACACTGATATAAACTACAGAACACTATTACTTCCACAAACACTAAAGATGGGGAACTTTTCCTCCCACTGGTACCATCATTGGGGTACTGTTCCAGCCACTGACATCAACAATGAGGCATGATTCCATCCACTGATACAAAATATAGAGCACTATTACTCCCGCTAACACTAAAGATGGGGCACTTTTCCTCCCACTGATACCATTGATGGTGCACTACTCCTGCCACTGACACCATTGCTGGAGCACCAGGCCTTCCACTGACACCAATGTTGGAGCACCAGTCATTCCACTGACACCAATGCGGAGCACCAGTCCTTCCACTGACACCAATGTTGGAGCACCAGTCTTTCCACTAACACCAATGTTGGAGCACCAGTCCTTCCACTGACACCAATGCTGGAGCACCGGTCCTTCCACTGACACCAGTATTGGGGAAAATTTTCTTTCATTAATACCAGTGTTGGGGAACTATTCCTTACACTGACACCAATGTTGAGGTACTATTCCTCTCACTGATACCAATAATAGGGCGCAATTGACAGTGTCCAGAGCACTGGTTAAAGCTTGTAGGAGGAGTTTTCTTTCTGTGCTAGGAGGATACATAATCCCTGACACCAATGCTGGAGCACCAGTCCTTCCACTGACACCGATGCTGGAGCACCAGTCCTTCCACTGACACCAATGCTGGAGCACCAGTCCTTCCACTGACACCAATGCTGGAGCACCAGTCCTTCCACTGACACCAATGCTGGAGCACCGGTCCTTCCACTGATACCAATGTTGTGGCTCCGGGCCTTCCACTGGACACCAGTATTGGGGCAAATTTTCTTTCATTGATACCAGTGTTTGGGAACTATTCCTTCCACTGACACCAATGTTGGGGTACTATTCCTCTCACTGATACCAAGAATAGGGCGCTCTTGACAGTGTCCAGCAGAGCACTGGTTAAAGCTTGTAGGAAGAGTTTTCTTTCTGTTCTAGGAGGATGCATAATCCCTGACCCTCTGGCTGCACAGTGCCGATTGGCCCTGTGCTGATCACATGCACTCTCCCAAGAAAAAAAACCCCTCATATGCAATACAAAACTGAGCATGTGCAGAGTGACTCCATATGATATGTCTTATCAGGAGATAAGAGGGGGGCACTGGAAGAAGGGGAGGATCAGAGAAGACAGGATCAAACAGCCTTTTTACACAATGCAGAGGATTAACCCCTTAGGTTCCACAGTGAGTATAACAAGCATGCTTTACTGCATCTACAGACTGATTTCACTGTTGTGGGTTTAGTAACACTTTAAGCAGGTTAGTAAATGTATTTGTCATCTGCACACTTGCCTGTGAACCGAGGTATTGTTTCATACATGATTGTGTTGTCAGTCATACTCCAGATCTCTGAATCCCTCGAGGAACATTCAGGAGAGGTGAGGAAAGCCAAAAATGGTAAATCTGCGTCACTTGCTTCATAGCTGTGCTCCGACAGCTCCCAGGAGTTTGGATTAGGGTAATATTCTAAAAGAAGGAAAAACAAAAGAAAAAATGATTATGGGAATTTTGGTGAGTGTTTGTGGATTACCAGAAATGGGGGGAGATTTACTAAAATTGAAGAATGCAACATTTGGTGTAGCTGTGCCTGGGAGCCAATCAGCTTCTAACTTCAGCTTGTTCAATGAAGCTTTGACAATAAAACCTGGAAGCTGATTGGTTCCTATGCAGTTACACCAGATTCTGTGTGCACCATTGAACATTAGTACTATGGTTGTGTTTGGAAAAGGAGTATTCACCCAGGAGTTTGGGGCAAACTTATTTTAGTACCCCAAAATTGTGCAAAGTAATTTTACTCATATGTACATCATTGGCATTCATCAAAAATATGGAATACGTGATATTTAGACACCTGGTAATTACATTTCAATAGTAAACAAGATAATTGTCCATTACTTTAGTCCTTACCCAGGGGTCTTCAAAACTTTCTAAACAAAGTGTCTGATTACTGTCCTTCAGGCTTTGAGGGGGGGGAAGAATTGTAACCAGTGAAGACAATTTCCTAGCAAAAGTGGGTACCACATCCTCAGTCCTGGTGATCAGTGGAAGTAAAAAATTATATAGCACCTTTATTTAACAGGAGGAGGAATAGTACACTATCATTGGTGTCAGTGAGAGGAATCATGCCCCATCATTGGTGTCAGTGGACAGATAGTGCGTGCCCAATCATTGGTTTTAGTGGGTGGAATAGTACCCCATCATTGGTGCCAGTGGGAGGAATAGTGCCTCATCACTAATGTGTGTGAAATGGACAGTTCCCCATCATTGGTGTCAGTGGGAGGAATAGTGCCTCATCACTAATGTCATTGAAATGAACAGTTCCCCATCATTGGTGTCAGTAGGAGGAATAGTGCCTCATCACTAATGTCAGTGAAATGAACAGTTCCCCATCATTGGTGTCAGTGGGAGGAATAGTGCCTCATTACTAATGTCATTGAAATGAACAGTTCCCCATCATTGGTGTCAGTAGGAGGAATAGTGCCTCATCACTAATGTCAGTGAAATGAACAGTTCCCCATCATTGGTGTCAGTAGGAGGAATAGTGCCTCATCACTAATGTCAGTGAAATGAACAGTTCCCCATCATTGGTGTCAATGGAAAGAATAATTACTTAATAACTTTCTGAACAAAGGCCAGTTTTCTGGTCTTCTGATTTTAGGGGGGCTGGTGTGTAACTAGTGGGAGTGGAAAATGCAGCAGAAATAGTGTCCAATCATTGGCCTCAGTAGAAGGAATAGAGCCCTATTATTGGTATCATTGAGAGAATAATACCCCAACATTGGTGTCAGTGGAAGGAATAGTTCCCCAACACTGGTATCAATGAAAGAAAATTTGCCCCAGTACTGGTGTCAGTGGAAGGACCGGTGCTCCAGCATTGGTGTTAGGGAATAACTGGGGTTCCAGTATTGGTGTCAGTGGCAGGAGTAGTGCACCATCGATGGCATCAGTGGGAGGAAAAGTACCCCATCTTTAGTGTTAGCGGGAGTAATAGTGCTCTATGTTTTACATCAGTGGATGGAATTATGCCCCATTGTTGATGTCAGTGGCAGGAACAGTACCCCAATGATGGTACCAGTGTAGGGAAAAGTGCCCCATCTTTAGTGTTTGTGGATGTAATAGTGTTCTGTAGTTTATATAAGTGGTGGTGTTAGTTAGTGTTATGTCTCAATGTTGGTGTCAGTGGATGGAATGGTGCCTCATATCAGTGGGAGGAATTATGTCCCAATGTTGGTGTCAGTGGAAGGAATGGTGCCTCATATCAGTGGGAGGAATTATGTCCCAATGTTGGTGTCAGTGGAAGGAATGGTGCCTCATATCAGTGGGAGGAATTATGTCCCAATGTTGGTGTCAGTGGACGGAATGGTGCCTCATATCAGTGGGAGGAATTATGTCCCAATGTTGGTGTCAGTGGAAGGAATGGTGCCTCATATCAGTGGGAGGAATTATGTCCTAATGTTGGTGTCAGTAGAAGGAATGGCGCCTCATATCAGTGGGACGAATTATGTCCCAATGTTGGTGTCAGTGGAAGGAATGGCGCCTCATATCAGTGGGAGGAATTATGTCCCAATGTTGGTGTCAGTGGAAGGAATGGCGCCTCATATCAGTGGGAGGAATTATGTCCCAATGTTGGTGTCAGTGGAAGGAATGGCGCCTCATATCAGTGGGAGGAATTATGTCCCAATGTTGGTGTCAGTGGAAGGAATGGCGCCTCATATCAGTGGGAGGAATTATGTCCCAATGTTGGTGTCAGTGGAAGGAATGGCGCCTCATATCAGTGGGAGGAATTATGTCCCAATGTTGGTGTCAGTGGAAAGAATGGTGCCTCATATCAGTGGAAGGAATAGTGCCGCAAGAAACAGATAAAGGCAATCAAAGGGCCGCATATGGCCCCCAGGCCCCAGTTTGAAGACCACTGGTGTAGACTATGCAAAATAACTGCCTTGACATCTCCCACCCCTATCCCATTCCAATATATATTACTTAGAAAACAGTGTCACTAACCTTAGTGGGTTCTTCAAAGTAATGGCAAAATCTTCCCAAAGGGGAACCAAGGAATTCAAACCGCAAATCCTCAAAACCTTCTCCCCGCTAAAGAAAAGTTTTGGGCAGAGTTCCACTTTAAACATCATTACCTGCTCCGCCTCACCTGTTAGCATTGGCTGGTTGGTGCTGCTGCCCAGTTCAGCTGTCAGATTGCTCAGGATGGGGAATGGCACAGCAGCGGCGTGGTACATCTTGCCGGATCTTCAGCAGACTCCCTCTGAACGCAGTCAAGTGCAAGCTCTGCAGGTCAGACAGGATGGCTTCATCGGTGGAGGACAAAAGTGTTGAAGGTGTTGGTGTTCATGGACAGTGTGCCAGACTGCTGAGTGATAGGAAAGCAGCAAAGGGCTTTTTACCAGAAATAGTGGTAGAACAAGAACAAGCAGTTTACAGAACATAGGGAACAAAAAGACTGAGAATCTTACTGGCATCGCAGGTGGATAGTCTCTAAGTGATCCTTATTCACGTACAATGCAGGTCTTCCAAGAAGCCTCACCGCTCAATAGGCTGATAATCGGGGTTGCTGCTGCTCATTGTTTTTTTTCGGGTAGCGTTGCTTTCCCAGAGTTTCAGGTGAATGTATCAGCATGGCTGGCTGCCAGATCTCAACCTGTTATTAACTGCAGGGCACTCCCTACACGTTTATCTGGGAAAACAAAGAGTTACTGTAAACTGACGGGCCAGCAGGACTCCTAATGATACCACAGCAGACAAAAATAATGACAGAAATACCTATTACTGGTCAGTATGATGACCTATAATGACAATGGGTCAGATCTGTAATGGTCCTTTAACCATTTGCCCGCCATCATATAGAAATACTGCTACAGGGCGACAGGGCTGCGCAAAAACACACATACACACGTAATTTGCATTTTCGGGTAGGGCGTCCTGCGCGTGCCCCCTACCTGGAAATACAAATCACACACACACACACATATATATATATATATATATATTATACGTCATTTGCATTTTCGGGTAGGGCGTCCTGCGCGTGCCCCCTACCTGGAAATACAAATCACACACACACATATATATATATATTTATATATATATATATATATACACGTCATTTGCATTTTCGGGTAGGGCGTCCTGCGCGTGCCCCCTACCTGGAAATACAAATCACACACACACACACATATATATATATATATATATATATATATACGTCATTTGCATTTTCGGGTAGGGCGTCCTGCGCGTGCCCCCTACCTGGAAATATAAATCACACACACACACATATATATATATATATATACAGTCATGGCCGAAATTGTTGGCACCCTTGATATTTCTCCAGGAAATCATGTATTTCTCACGAAACGTATTGCATTAACACATGTTTTGCTATACACATGTTTATTCCCTTTGTGTGTATTGGGACAAAACAAAAAAAGGGAGGAAAGAAAGCAAATTCGACATAATGTCACACAAACCTCCAAAAATGACAAAAGTATTGGCACCCTTTCACAACTGCGGATAAATAAGAATGTTACAAGCATGTGATGCTCCTGTAAACTCACCTGGGGCAAGTAACAGGTGTGGGCAATATAGAAATCACACCTGAAAGCAGATAAAAAGGAGAGACGTTCACTTAACCTTTGCATTGTGTGTCTGTCTGTGCCACACTAAGCATGGACAACAGAAAGAGGAGACGAGAACTGTCTGAGGACCTGAGAACCAAAATTGTGGCAAAATATCAACAATCTCAAGGTTACAAGTCCATCTCCAGAGAACTAGATTTGCCTTTGTCCACAGTGCGCAACATTATCAAGAAGTTTGCAACCCATGGCACTGTAGCTAATCTCCCTGGTCGTGGACGGATGAGGAAAATTGATGAAAGATTGCAACGCAGAATAGTCCGGATGGTGGATAAGCAGCCCCAAACATGTTCCAAAGACATTCAAGCTGTCCTGCAGGCTCAGGGAGCATCAGTGTCAGCGCGAACTATCCGTCGACATTTAAATGAAATGAAACGCTATGGCAGGAGACCCAGGAGGACCCCACTGCTGA